CTAGAAATTCATTGAGCACTTCTTAGAGTCATTTTTCATCTTCTCTTAACTCTGGTCATGGCTTTTCCTTCTTTGGTTCATTTGCTTCATGAGGTAAGGGAAGAGAACTAGAGATTAAAGTTCCAGAGAACACATGATTCATGAGTCACACCTAGTTTTCCTCTGCAGTATTCATTTAAAATGGCATTGTTCCAGAAGAAGAAACAGAAAGTAAAAATGAGCCTTAAATACAGCTTCCGTGATACAACAACAATTATAAAAAGAATGCCTCACATTTGATGTCTCCCGAATAAGTTACTAGATCTTTCTCAGGCATTGTCTCATTTTATCCTTACAAATACCCTTTGAGGTAAGGGTTTTATTTATTTGTTAGTTAGTGCCAGTCCCAGATTGAACTCAGTGCCTAGGCACTGTCCCTGAGCTTTTGTGCTCAAAGCTATCAAGCTCTATCACTTGAGCCACAGTTCTACTTACAGATTTTTATTGGTTAAATGGACTTTCCTGCCTGGTCTGGCTTTGAACCACAATCCTCAGATCTCAGCCTCCAGAGTAGCTAGGATTACAGGCATGAGCCACTACTGCTTAGCTTAAGGTACGTTTATATTACATATAACAAAAAACAAACCCAGAATGAGTATATAAATTAGCTGAATCAGGGGCTGGGAAGGTGGCTCAGTGGTAGAGAGCTTGCCTTGCATGCCTGAGGTCCTGGGTTCGATTCCTCAGCACCACATAAGCAAAAGGAAAAAAGCCGGAAGTGGCACTGTGGCTCAAGTGGTAGAGCGCTAGCCTTGAGCTGAAGAGCTGAGGGACAGCACCCAGGCCCAGAGTTCAGGCCCCACGACCGGACCCCCCCCCCAAAAAAAATAAATAAATAAATTAGCTGAATCAGGGAAAGAACCTTGACCCAGTGGATCTAGAAAACATTCCTAACTTGTTTAATATCATATAATAGTAACTGTGGTGGAGCTGTGTCTTTCCTATATGCTCTACATTAGCACATCAGGCTCAATCCCCAAAAACACAGAGATCATTAAAGATGTAATTTCAAACATATTCTGAAACCTTCTTTATCATGTACTATCAAATTAGATAGAGTGGAAGGATGTCTGAAAGGTAATTCACATTGTATAGACATGATTCGTGTATTCTTTTGACCTATTTACTGAATGAAAAGTGCTCATGAAATCTTCCCTACCAACACTATTATTTTAAAAACTATTATTTTAAAATCCTCTCATAAGACTCACAAATACATAAAATCCTAAGATTTTTAAAATTCTATTTTTGTCTCAAGTTATGGGTTTATCACCTGTAAATAAAGAATTCTAGTGTTTTTACCCCTTCATTCATCCATCCATTCAAGTAGCATTTATTGCCTGACTGTTATGCTTCAAGCACTGGGCCAGGCCAGGTTGAGTGCCAGTTATGAACAGGACCATGATTTGACCCAAAGAAATATCTGCTTCAGAAGAGAAAGTGTATTATATAATTCAATTAATTTATTGGCCTCTTTTACATAAATGATCTATTTTAATAACTATTAAAGAAGATCAAATTTGTTTAAAAACAGTAAGGCCTAGCTTTGATTTTTATATACTCTTTCATTTTATAGGTGCTTTTGATATTTTTTGTCTATGTTGATTTTTGGGTCAAAGAAGTTATTTGAGTAAGAATATTATGCCTTTTGACTATATTTGCGTTCAAAGAGCTAATAGAAAATTCCACATTCTACATTCTGTTGCATGTGTACTAGCTGCCATGGGTTAGACCAGCTGGGTGACTTTAGCATGGGGCAGTATATCAACAGAGAATATCAACAATAGTGGCTGAGTGGAGAGCCCTTGCCTAGCATGGGCTAGAGGATGACTTCCAGCGCTTCAAGAAACAACAAGAAACCTTGTTGTCAAAGTATCAACCACAACACTTGTCTAATCTGGTGCCAGATTAGAAAATATGTGCTGTTATGAGTTGGTGATAATTTAGAGTAGGTAGTGATGACAAGAAATGACAAAGAAAGTCCAACAGGCTCTGTTGGGGGGATGGGTATCATCAGAAACGTGACAGGTGAATTGAGAGGGTGATTATGGTTGAAGATTTTATATGTATTCATGAAAATAGAACGATGAAACAAGTTGAAATTGTTTTAAGCTGGAAGAAGAATAAGAGTGAGCGATAGAGATGGGTAAGTTTGATTTTATGTATGTACAGTTATGTCACAATGAAATCCTTCTTGTATAGCTAACATATGCCAATTTGGCAAACTTTAAAAAAAAAGAATAAATGGTTGGTTTCTTGAAACAGGACACAACACACTTCTATCTTCAGAAATATGAGTTTCTGGACAGAGTCATAAAGAAAGTTCTAAATTGTTTTAGACTTTTCAAACCTTACATTAAGACATTCACTGCTGCGATATCCTAGGTCTTACCTTCAAAACACGTTCATATTTAATAAGGATGCACAAAAGCTTTTCAGCCAGCCATTGTTTTATGTCAAAGGAATACACTTGAGAGCAGTAGCAAGAACGTTGCGGGTGTTGGGGGCAGCAGGTATCAGGAAATGGAAAGAGCACTGTGCTGGAGAATGTTGGAAGGCAGGTGATCAAGTAGGTTTGACCAGCTGGGTGACTTTAGCAAGACTTCTCCATGTGTGTTTCCACATCTGCAAAATGCAGTGTTAAACCAGATGACCTCTCAGTCCATTTCTACAAACCAATGTGTGTAAAGCTTATTGCTCAGTGTAATAAAAATGTATTGACATTTACAAAGCCTTGTTGAAATGCCACATCCACCAATGACACTCCCTTCTAGTCTCTCTGCCTGGCATGGTGTTTTGGTCATGGTGGCAAAGGAAACCAGGTGGACTTGCCCTGTAGCTCTTGGCCCCGTGCTGTAGGAGCTGATGAGTCAGCATGTGGCTCTTTGCCCTATGGGTCAGGGCTGCAGGTGCTCAGGAGGGCCTTGGAAGGAGGTTGATGCCAACCCTTTGGGGCGAGGTAGGAACTTGAAATGTGGATGGTTTCAGTAGCCTCTCAGATTCCAGGGCACTTTACTCAAGCTTAGGAGTGTCTCCCTCCATCTTGGCCAAACTGCCACCTTGGATAATTATGCTCCTCAAATGACTCTTGCATTTCAGTGCCATGTGGCATCCATGCTTCCTATTGCCCCATGTGGCAGAGTTTGCAGGTTATTTTCCAACCCATAAACCTGATGGCAAGGCTTTTATTGGTTGAGGTGTGGAGCCTAAAGACTAAAGGAAACATTCATTACTCTCCCCCATCCTTTTTCCTTAAGGGCAAAGGAAACTTACTAGCTCGGAAACACAAAACAAAAGAAACTGATGTGGACACTGGACTCACTGTAGGTGGAGGTCTTAGAAATCCCTGAAGAGATTCAGGAAGATTAAACACAACATTTAGTGTCTGCAAACCTTTTTTGTTTTGAAGGGGTAATGGGATTGCGAAACTGCAGAGCTGTATGATCCTTAAGCTAGAAGATGTCGACATAATTGTTTTGAGGTCCACCAATCAGACCACACATTTTGAACTACCAGATCATAATGAGTGTTCATTAGGCATCATGATAACAACACCCTCCTTGTTTATTAACAAAGAAGCATTCTCCTCGTGTATCACCCATGACAGCTGATGCAGGACAATTAAAGTCATCTACTCATTCCCTCTTTTTCCTGATTTATTCAGGAGCTGTCATGTGCTCAGGGTGTGCTTTTCCTCCTCCAGATTTTCCTTCCTTCCTTCTGTCCCCTCTTTTGTCTTCCTCTGAGATGAATTAGATTCCCCTCTGGAGAGGAAATCTCTATCACTGTTCAGTCAAGCTCACTGGACGATGCTTAACTTTAACTTTTCCAGGTCACTAGGACACCATTCTGTGAACTGGAGTCAACACCTGCCAGATGGAATTCCAAAACCTGAAGGCATCTGCCAACCTCCCAAGATGACCGATTTTTCTAGAGCAGTTGTTTACTCTCTTCACTAGGACAGCCAATGGGTTATCTGTTCTGAGTCTACATGTACATACTGGGAACATGTTCTACTTTCAGAACACATCTAGATATCTAGGTTATTTTTAACTACTTATTTTATTGGTCTTTCCTTTGACTGGCTGTAATTTAGGCAAGTTATTTAACCTTTCAAATACCATGTGCTTCTCTCTTAAGTATGTATCACTGACAAAATTGAGGGTTTTGTTTATTTTGATTGATTTATTTTGTTTTGTTTTGAGGCAGAGTCTATGTAGCTCTGGCTGGCCTGCAACCCACTATGTAGCCCAGGCTAACCTTAAATTTATAATCTTCCTGCCTCAGCTAGAGTGCTGAGATTACAGGTATGCCCAGTTATAGTTGAATATTTATCCAATATTTCTGAGACCCAACCTATGAGTATAATGTTGTGCTTTACTTTGGGAGTTTCAAGACAGCACAATGTTTGCTCTAGTCCACTAGGTACTTGCAATCTCATTAAAACACAGTTTGAAATACAGATGGATCTGATCCCCAGCTCAACAAAGGAAGGAAAGAAGGGAGGGAGGAAGACAGGGAGGGAGGGAAGGAAAGAGGGAGGAAGGGAAACGGGAGGGAAAGAAAGAAGGAACAGAGAAAAGAAAGAAGGGAGGGGAAAAGGAAGAACAAACATTTACACATGAGAATAAAACTAACAATGCAAAACAAGGAGCAATATGACACTATTATATGTACAAGAACATTCATTGCAACATTTCTCACTATAATAACATTTTGGAAAATGTCTAATAGAAGACTGGTAAAATAAATTACAATCATCTATATGATGGACTACTATGTTGTATTTTTTTTTTAAATGAGGCAGCTCTGTATATGCTGAAATGGAAGAGACCTAAATATAACTTTAAGAGACTGAAAGAGAAAGTATAATAGTGTACTGTGTTTTCATTTGTGAAAGGGAAAAACAGGAGTATATACACATGCATTGAATTTGTCTTGTTTTGTTTTTTTATTGCTAGGAATCAAACCCGGGGCCTTGCACATGCTAGGCAAGCCCTCTACCACTGAGCCACATCTCCAGTGTTCACACTGAATAGCTTTGAACAGATTCGCTGGAATCTGGCACTGTGCATGCCTTCAGAGAAGAAACAGAAGATATAGTACATCGTGGAGAAGAGCTTATTTACTAGTCTTCTATAACTTTTGAATTTTGTACCAGGCTCATATTTTGTGAAAATAATAAATAATATTTAAAAACACGCCCTAGCCAGGTATTATTGGCTCACACCTGTAATCCTAGCTCCTTAAGAGGCTGAGATCTGAGGATCATAGTTCAAAGCCAGCCAGCCTGGCAAAAAAGGCCATGAGACTCTTATTCTCCACTTGCCAAAAAAGTTAGAAGAAGAGCTGTGTGGCTCAAGTGATAGAATACCAGCCTTTAGCAAAAGATGATCAGGGATAGTGCCAGCCCCTGAATCCCAATCCTAGTATCAGTGCATTGCCCTGATACACACACACACACACACACACACACACACACACACACACACACACACACGTGTCCTGATCCTCTGGCTAGGTCTCCTACTGAGAACCAAAGAATTATGAGAGACACGTAGGGAGAGAATTTTTTATAGAGGTCTGAAGATGTAGTGAATTCATTTCAAGAGGTTTTGAGGTTGCTCTGCTGAAGGAAGGGGTGGGTGTTTCCTGCCCTGTCTCCTTCCAGTCAGTTCCAACCTAATGCTTCTGACATTAAGAGAAGGATGGAGAGGTTGGAGGCCCACATGCATGACATGTAACATGACACTTTAGGTTACCATTACTCCAAAGGAAGGGAGTCAGAGGGACACAGGAGAGCAAGCTGGAAGGTTCGTGCTTCCTGAGAACCTATAGCAACTGTCACATTTGTGGGTGTCCTCTGTCACTTGAATCCCCATCATCATGCAGAGAATGAAGTGGTCCTGGTCCTTGTCATAAGATGGCTCATGTCGTCCTAGCTCCAAATTGCTCCTGGTTTATCCTTATACAGGCAGGTTCTAGAGCACAGTGGCCTTCTGAGCCACATCAGGACTCAAGGGCAAAGCTGGAACTTCACTCTAGATCTTCTAACCCACTGTGCTCTCACAACACTACTGCATCCCGACAGTCCCCCTGGGACTGTCTGTAGCCATGGCACAAAGGAATAGTAGTGATGTCTCCAAAACTCAACACTATGAGGGCAAACAGGCTAAGTCACACTTAGAACTTGCCTGAAGGAAGTTCCAAGGGCTGACAGTTCAGGCAGTTGAAACCAGGTATATGGTAAGGGTGAGGATCCAGAAAGTTCCTTCTCCTGCTGGAGATGAGGTGGGTGATATAAAACACACACACACACACACACACACACACACACACACACACACACACACATATTCTAGGTCAGATACCCTTCAAGTTGAAAACCCATCACCGGGAGCTCATACCTGTTATCCTAGCTACTCAGGAGGCTGAGATCTGAGGAGGGTGGTTCAAAGCCAGCCCAGGCAGGAAAGTCCATGAGACTCTTATCTCTAATTCTCTACCAAAAAAGCCAGAAGTGTTGCTGTAGGTCAAGTGGTAGAGGACTAGTTGAGCAAAAAAGCTCAGGGACAGTGCCCAGACCCTGAGTTCAAGCCCTAATACCAACACACACACACACACACACACACACACACACACACACACACACACAATGTGTGTACCTTGAAATATACCTTATATTGATTTCTATCAATCGTGGGTTACATGCAACTTCCTACAGTCTCAGATTCTTTTTTTTTTTTTTGTACGTCGTGGGGCTTGAACTTTGGACCTGGGCGATGTCCCTGAGCAACAATGCCACTTCTGGTTTTCTGAGTGGTTTATTGGAAATAAGAGGCTCATAGACTTCCTGTCTGGGCTGGCTTTGAACCGTGATCCTCAGATCTCAACCACCTGAGTAGCTAGGATTACAGGCATGAGCCACCAGCGCCCTGCTCTCAGATTCTTTTTATAGTAAGAATAAAGCAGTAAATAAGTTGAGAGTTTTTGCCTTTTTTCTCTATTGAAAAACAAGTATCTAGCAATTATTCTAATTTTTGGAAAGGTACAAAGAAACAAAGGCCAAAATTCTTCTCAATTGAAACCCATTTCTCTATTGCTCTTTGATGCCACCGTATGTGATCAAATATAGCCTACAGGTGACTGGACTTGGGGACCCCTGGTTGGCTGTGGAAGCTTCATTCTTCCTGGGTGCTGGCCACCTACATCTTGCCAGAAATCTCACCTGTGTACTTTGACAAAGTTTACTTTCTATTTACTAAGATGAGCTTCCTCTTTCATAATGACTTCAGCAAACAGGCTCTGGACTACTTGGAGTTCATGTGGACAAGAACCAGCTTATCTCAGTCCTGCCTCAAATCTCTGCCCATTTCCATAGACACCTGACTTAATCTAGTCTCATCCAACGCCTCCTGCTTTTGTAGTGGAATTTCCACCACCTAAGCAGCATGACTCAAAGTGGATCATCCAGCTGCTTAAGGTATGCCTTTGCAGCTCAATGTTTACAACAAAAACCACCAACCATCTTGTTTTTTCAAAGGTGATAGCCCAGCAGCTTAGCAGCACAGAGAGGATTTCCCCATTCCTGGGTAGAAGCAGGGAGCCTTTCTCTTGACTTTCCTAACTATTGAGTAGCTCTCATTGAAAGTTTCAACAGTCCTTCCTTAGGTCCAATACCCCAAGTCTTGGTAGATAAACAGGTGTTGGCACTTACAGATGGGGTTGGGAGGGGAAAACAGAGAGAGAGAGAGAGAGAGAGAGAGAGAGAGAGAGAGAGAGAGAGAGAAAGGGAGAGCAAAGGAAGAGATGATATTGTCCAGTAAGAACTGTACTCTTTACCTGACTTATGAAACTGTAACTCCTTTGTATATCACCTTTATAATAATGATACAAATTTTGTTTGAAAAAACACCTAAGCTAACTTCACTCCTTACTTCCAGCCACAGCACAGGGGCTCTTCAGCCTGTCTTTGTACATGACTCTAAGAACATTTGAGGAGAAGCACTGGGTCTCTAAATGGATAATGCCACATCTTCAGCCTTGGTCATCTCATTTACCAAACTGGTGTTTAATTAACAACTAAGGACTGTGCTTCCTTATAGGTGAGTTTGTGTTTCATGAGATCATAAAGCTGAAGAATAAGTTGTTCAAGCTCACTGCTTCCTCAAGGAGCCCTGGCGTCTGGCCTGAGCCCAAGTGCTTTCACTTCTTACTTCCTCCCCAGAGGATTCCTCTGGAGACACTGACAAGCAGCCCAGATATATATCCTGATTACAGATTATATCACAGAAATGGCATATGTATGAGAATCGGCTGTTATTTTGACAATAAGACCTCATCCATTCAGAACACTGATCTCTAATGCCACACAGGGGTGGTTCACACTTGTAATCCTAGTTACTCAGGAGGCTGACACCTGAGGATTGTGGGGGCAGCCCAGGCATTAAAGTCTATAAGACTCTTTTTTTTTTTTTTTTTGTCAGTTGTGGGGTCTGAACTCTCGGACTGGGCACTGTCCCTTAGTTCCTCAGCTCAAGGCTAGTGCTCTACCACTTGAGCCACAGCACCACTTCTGGCTTTTTCTGCTTGTGGTGCTGAGGAATCGAACCCAGGGCCTCATGCATGCAAGGCAAGCACTCTACCACTGAGCCATCTTCCCTGCCCTGTCTATGAGTCTCTTATCACCAATTAACTAGTAAAAAGCTAGAAAGTGCCAGCTGTGAGTGGAAAAGCTAAAGGACAGTGCTCAGGCCCTGAGTTCAAGTCCTAGTACTGGAACAAAAAGGAAAAAAAAAAAAAATCCTGATCCACCAGAAATGGGGTTTATAACTTCCAGTGGTAAAACGCAGCATGTAGTGAGTGAGTGGAGCCCCTCATTTTGAGTCATTTAGACTAGAGTCTGGATACTTTGTGCCCAAAAAGGCAGGATGAAAGGGAAGATACAGACAAATCAGCCTCCAACAGTGGGCAGCAGAGGCAGCTGAAAACTGAGCATGTTGAAGAGCTTTACCAAGGCATTAAGGTGAGGCCTTGTTGTGGGGAATGATAGCTCCACCCATAGCTCTCCTGACCCGGAGAAATGCAGTGACTGTGTTCATCATCCTTTGTTCCATCACCAAGACAAGTACAGAGCAGGACCAAGTGCAGTATCATGAAAAGACTCATGTAAAGGAATTCCCATGCCCTCCTGTTGAGGTTTTATTTCCTGAAACCTACCATAACACCAAGAGTAAAGGTGACTCATACTCCCTAAGCCTTGTGGATGGCCAAGTTTTACTTTATGTATTTGCATGCAACTTATCCTAAAGATAAGGTGTACCATCATTTATGAAACTAGGTTCTGATGACCAGAATATTATATCACTGAGTGACAGGTTCTCAGGTTATGAAGCAATAGCTCCCAGTCACTTCCAGAGTCTAGGAAGTATGTGTGACGGTTTCATGAGACCCTGCATTTCTACTAGGGCAGGTTTCATGGCTGATCCAGGCAAGAGTTGAGGCAGGCTTGGTATGGCGGCTACTTGGCACACAGAAAAATCTCCTAATCCCTTTGGAGGACCTGGAATGTATCCCTCCCTTTTTGAATAATGCTACTTTACTTCCTGGATTATAAAGATATGATTTTACTAGAGGGAAAGGAACTGGATTTGTGGCACATTTTTGTGTGATTATTTCAGTTAATTCCTGTATGCAAAATGAACTTGTCAGTTTTGACGTGACAGGATGAAGCAATGGAGTTTTACATTCGAAATTCACCTATTCAAAATCCCTATATTATTACTAACTTAGCTTTGTTTTGTTTGTGCCAGTACTGAACCTGGAACTCAGGACCTTGAGTTCTTGCTTGACTTTTCTTGTCAAGGCTGGTGCTTTATCAGTTGAGCAATACTTCCAGCTTTTTGCTAGTGATGAGAGTCTCATGGATTTGAACTTCAGTCCTCAGTCCTCAGCTCCTGAATAGGATTACAGGTGTAAACCACCAGCTTCCAATCCTACCTTAGTATTTGGTTAAAGAACTTTTTTAAAAAAATTTTTTGTCAGTAGTGGGGCCTGACCTCTGAGCCTGGGCACTGTCCCTCAGCTCTTTAGCTCAAGGCTAGTGCTCTACCACTGTAGCTACAATGCCACTTCCAGAGTTTTCTGCTTATGTGGTGCTGAGGAACCAAACCCAGGGCCTCATTAACGCAAGGCAAGCACT